GTGCTAATAGGGTTAATTGGAGTATACCATCGCTCCAGACAGGGCACAACCGGCGGTGTGTCTCTCGGGCGTTTGACGCACGTCAGGAGCAGAGGGCAGGTGTGATCACTCCCGTCACGGCCTGACCTGTCGCCCAATGGTGAATTATTCCACACCAGCCGCAGCAGAACAGTTTAGAGGTGATGAATCACCCCGGTGCTTGGCAGGCAGTGTGAATTTCATTTCCCCCCAACCAGCGGGTGTCTCGTTTTTCCCCCACGACGTGCAGAAACTCTGTTCTTATTGAGCCAGAGCGTGTACTTTTTGCCACGTGTCTCCCACTGACAGTTCTATTACGAAGAAAAATGAACAGGAGACATTAACCGTGCTGTCCTGCCACGGTGCCTTCTGAAAACTACCTGTGAATAGAGCGACTGCGGCAGCCGTAGTGCCATCAGGTTATTAGATCAAAGCAATCAGCCACTCGAGGCAGTGTGTTACAGTGATTTTACCATGGGTAGGGGTGTTCTTAGACACAATCTGAAGTAAAATCATTGTGCACATGGCCTTGTGTGAATTACTGCAATATGATAAAAGACACCAATGTTCAATAAATGCATTTATTATTCATAATAATTAGTATAAACCATTCTTACACCAAGTCACAGCTCAATAGTCAGTGCACTGGCCTATAGGGCTGTCCCATTAAAATGTAATGCTTCCTACAAATTCTTAGGGAGTGCACCTTGTACACTTTTGTACCATATTTACCTCTAACATGTGCATATTAGTGCAGCAAAGGTATATTAGTAACTTAAATGTACAAATACACATTAAATAGCTTTGAAAGATGACAGCTTTTGTACCTTTTTTTTTAGGAGTGTATGACAGGAATAGTACAGGTAAAAGGTAATAATAAAAGCTGGTAGGCTATTCCTAATTCAGCCCACGATCACTTCCGGAAATCATGTCATCATGTTTCAGATAATCATGTTCCTGGAACTCTGAATCATCAATGTCTCAGTGTTTAGTGAATGAAGACCCTTGCCATATCCTCATGAATCCCTATCTGCACGCACACTCTCCCCTGTGCACACAAATGCACAATTTATGGCCTGTGGTTTACAGAACTATAATGTCAAGGAACCTGTATGGATAAAGATATCATTCATATTTAAGATTCTGTAAAAATGTTTACAGGAACAATGATTTGGCTTGACAATATGTTTATTTACTCTACCTGTTCTTTATTTCCCTTACAAAATTTCAGTGGAAGCATGGTCTGTATATAAATATGCTGCACTGCTATATTTTTCCCAGTCATCTAAATAGTGAAAACGTGTCTAAATTTACTTGAATTCTCCCTACATGTCACACAAAATATATATATATTTTTAAATAATATAATATATATTAGTTAGTTACAAATACAGTAAAATATAATAATATTGTGAAAAAAAATTTTTATATTTAAAATAATTGCTTTTTTAAATATAATTTTAAATTCAATTTATTCCTGTGATGGCAAAGCTGAATTTTCAGCATCATTACCCCGGTCTTCAGTGTCACAGGATCCTTCAGAAATCATTCTAATATGTTGATTTGCTGCTCAAGAAATACTGTTTTTAAGTACTGACCTCAAGCTTTTGAACTGTAGTGTTCATCAGTATATTACTCACATCACCACTATTGGCATTGTCTATAACACTGGGTCACTAAATCCCAGGTTCTCCCTGTAATATTAGAGATCAGAGTTGGAGATAGATATCCTGGTGGACTGCCACAGTTGTTGTTGACACATCTCATTTGGGAAGGAGGCCTTTTCTTCAGCATTATGATTACTTGCATCTCTTGGGTCAAAGTTTGATAATAAAAGATATTTGTGCAGCTGCCTAAAAACACTTTTCTGCTGAGGCACTCTATTCTTCCTTCATGCAAAATGCCGCTTCTATCACAAAACCCCACTTTAAAACCCCATTTTTTCTGTCAATAAAAATCCCAAGTTCAAAGTCAACTTGAATATCTCTGACTGAGTGTAAAACATTGTCACCTTGATTTATGAGCACACATCATATGCCAGGTTTTTATCTGCTGATCTTTACAAACTATTAGATGCTAAGACTTCTCTCAGCAAGCCAGAAAATTGAGATTCAGAGAGAGAAAGACATACACAGAGTTTCAGGCGGGATGGAATAAGTTATCCTCAGTCAAACAGAAAGAGACTCCTGTTGAATTAAAAGCAAGAGAATGGAGAAAACATCATATGCAGGGGTTTGAAAGGTGAGCACAGCCTTTGATAGCTGTCTGACTTCTGCTTCTGGTGTAACGCTTTTCATCCTTTCAAAGAATCCTTTTCAGAGTTGCAGCAAACATTTTAAAGTTTGAGTCAGCTTGAGTTGGTTGATAATGTTATTGGCAGCTGTCAGTAACTTATACGACCACAGGAAACACTGACAACTCACATTGAACCCAATAAATTATATATGTGTATGTATGTATATATATCAACATAGTCATCATGGAATCCATTCACAATCTATTTGATTTCCACAATGTGATGCATTTTTCAATGAAACGGAAGAAATGTAGATTTTACCCACAGGAAGCTGCTGGATCATGAAAAGTGGCCGTTTTATACCTGAATAGAGCCAGACTTGAATTGAGTTTGCAGTTGACATCCACTTTTGCGGAGGCTGTTCGACCTGAATGTGGAGGACAAATTATTATTGCACATTCTACTGACAGAATTGTAGAAATACTGCATTACCAGTAGCTTGAAACAGTGATTAAATTGCATTTGGCTAAACACTTTAGTCAGGGTAGTGCCATATTTAATTTTTGACAGGAATGAAAAGAAGGCTTTCAGGGATAGTACAGTACGTTCAATGGCCTGTACTATTGTTTCACAACATAACGATTATCCAGTTGACGAAAACATTTCTGAAAAATACTAGACAAAAACAGTTTTGAAAGCTGTGAGTTGTGAACAAGATCTGTGCAACTCTATATGGCATCTAACCTGATTAAGGTCTATTGCTTAACAATAAACCAATATCACTAGTTAAAACATGAATAAATGCAAATTAATTTGCCTGCTCATTGTAGTACATTCCTACAAGGTCAACTTAAGCCCAAACAGAAACGATATTAATATTCTATAGGTAAAAATCGTATAAGGATAAAATGCATGCCTATTACAACAGAAGCCTAAAGCTTCAATATCTGTCTACTGGGTTTTGATTAGTTCAGAGGAACATTAAAAAATGTTGAAAGTAAAATTATAGATTAACTGGGGTCTCTGAGACTCCAAATATAAAGAAAGTCAATCTCACCAGAACACGAAGCTCAGCGTGCTATATTTAAACAAATGTATTTCAGTCACACTTTCTTATTTCTTGCTCTTTCTAAGGTCACTCTTCTCATCCTGAACTTTCTCTTTTCAAATCCCTCTCTATCCACATCTCACAGACTCGCTGCTCAGCTTCTCTCCACATGCTGATACCTGGCCTGGTGCTTTGGCCGCTCTTCAGAAGGGTGAGCCAGTGTCGGTCAACATGGTTGCTCGATAATCTTTATCCACTCACCGGCCCGTTCCAGCCCTGCCCAGAGCGAGAAAGAGGGGATTTAATGCGCTCTTCTCCCTGACTTCATTACATCCCCAGACCAACATCATCTCTCTTGGTTCAGACCGTGAACTTTGCCGCTTCCACCGCTGAGACCCTCATGATCCTGTGTGCATCAAGCTCATAGTGGCACCTTTAAATTACCTGATTCTCTGGTTTATGACACATGATCAGTAATCCTCTGACACACGCTCTAGTCATCTTCTCTCCATCAGCTCCATTTAGCCTTCACTGGCTGATGTGTCATATTATACGGACACAGGTTCTCCATAATGTGACATTGTATCCATAAATGTTTCTTGGCCTATGTAATAGGGATCCTTCTGGGTCAGCATGTCCTTGATAGGTTCAGAAGGACTGTAATGGGACATAAAGCTATATGACCAAAATTAGCTTTACAAGCTTAGTGGGAGTTCGGGCATGTTCTTTGGCAATACAAGAAACTCGTTTACTATCTTGAGCCATTATTGGTTTATAAACAGGAGCTATTGAGTGTTCATCCACTGCCATCTTGTGGTCGGTTTCGAATCCTGCACCACATTTTAGTAAAAGTGTTCATCTGTACTGTAGTCATTCATCCTCACAACGAAGTTAACTTTCTGTAGAAAACAAAAGGAAATGTTCTGATTAATGTTCACGCTGCTCTTTATATGTGATACAATCATCCTTACAAACCAGCCTACATTACAAATTAAACCTTTTATGATCATTTCATTATGAAAAGCTATTATTTTAATTTAACTTAAATATGGATGGAACACTTTTTAGATGTAGTGAGAAGGTCAGTTAATAAATTCCTTATCGTTGCATTTTGTTTGAACATTAAAAGCTACAATTCATTTAGCAAATTACTTGCTAAAATAGTACCAAATCAACAATAAAAAGCATTGAAAAGGAAAGCAGAAACTGTGGATCCAATGGAGAACAGTATAAAGAAGAATTACGGTAATGAAATAGGAAATCTGTAAGAGCAGTGAATAACATGATTGTCCAAAATAGGACACACACACACACACAGTCATGTTTTACTCACTGTATTTCGCTGTATTGTTAAATTAGTGCACACAAGGAATATAAGATAGTATGTGAAAAGCTCTCATCTGTTCTCATGCATTCCTAACCGTAATTTCCATTAAACTAACTAAAGCTGCCAGTTTCTCCTTTATGAATGTTTGAGCAGGAAGCAGTGTTGCCAACTAATTTTCAGGGGAAGTTGCTAAAGGAAGATTGATTTGTTGCTAAAAGTTGCTAAATGACGCGATGTCATTGCGCGGTGACGTCATTGCGTAATCACTATGCAAACTTGTGTCACTGCATCAAATCAAATGCATCAAAACAAAATTGCTAAGTTGGCAACACTCGCAGGAAGATGAAGGTGAACTTCGTTTCCCAGAGTGCATCGCGCTGACACCTTCTTCCTCGCGACAAAAATGGCGGCTCCTTTAACACTCCTGCTGATAGTGGCTGTTACAATAAGAGCCGTTTTATTCCGATCCAGTTTGGCAGAATTAATTTCAGAGAGGGTCGAGGTGGTGTCGCCTTTGAATGCGTGGAAACGAGGTATGATTATGTATTTTTTTCTGTATGGGAATGCTGTATACTGATGGTATGTTCCTGTTTGGCAGCATTGCTGAGCTGTCAAATGAAGACATGCATTAAATATATTTTCAGTACATGATGTTTTCATGCTTTATTTTTAAGTCAATTATAGTTAGTTACATTATTGTTTACTTATATATCTGATTTTAAATATGCAGCATCAATGGAATACGCAGATTTTGAACTCCACACAGCCTGTTGTGGCACACAGCTTAATATCTATTTACAGTATGTCTTGTATTGAATGGATTGCATTACTGCAAATTGTTCTTAAGTTTGATTTTACATCAAACCCATGTTACATCTAACATTCATGTTATATTTATACAGTCTGGCAAATATTGATAAACTGGAGTCCTCTATGAAGTGATGTGATTTTTGGGTAAAAAAATCAGTAGAAAAACCCTTACAGACCTGTTTCAGTTACAGTAGTGTTCACTTCACTACCTTGAATAAAATGACTTCTGTATTTAGTGGGAAATGTCTTTAAGTTCGTTAGCTGTTAAATGCATAATATGATTGATTTTTGAATTAAACAGTTGTAGAGGGTCTTGCCTTGTTGGATCTGGGGGTCTCGCCTTACTCAGGAGATGTGTTTCATGAAGTAAGTTCTATTTGACTTTTTTTCCCCCAAGTCTATTCTCCGATGTGTTTAATTGTTCTTTTTATTTCTTCCAGACACCCCTTATGATATACCTCTTTCATTTTACGGTCGACTATGCAGAGATTGTTTTTATGGTGAGTCCTTATTTTGTTGATTGTCTTTCTTGTTTGCTTGCATCATTAGACCGTGCAAAAATAGCAATTGGTAGCAACAACCTCAAATCTGATTTACTATTCAATTTTCCAGGTTGCTGTGAATTAATATCATAGTTTATAACTATTACTGTGTGTTTGTGTTTTTGTAAATTTCACTTCTTGTACACATGTAAGTATACTCATGTAACGTTATGTCACCAGATAGCAGATGGAATCACAGCGGTGGCTCTTTATCTCTCAATTCAGACTTATAACAAGAATGTGGTAAGTTATAGCTTATATCTTTGTTGATATCTGTGTATGTTTCATAAGTTAGAGCCTATTAATTCATTATATTTTCAAATTATTATAACGTTTTTAAATATTTTATAAATTAACATTCATCTTTGTGTGCTTTGTAGTTTAGAAAACAGAAATATGCCTTGGAATCGGACCGGTATCCCGCCGACTGTTTGGAGCTCCTCCGCTCTCCGAAGGAAATGTTCTACATCCCCCTCAAGGTTGCCATGTTGTAAGTTCTGATCAGGCTTTAAATCAAGATTATGCTATCGCTTTTTTTAATTGCAAAAAAGAAACTCGGCCTTAAAAGTAAGGCACATAATTTCATTTGTCTAATTGTCTTCCAGTTATCTGTTAAACCCCTTCACCATCCTGTCTTGTGTGGCAAAGTCAACTTGTGGGCTGAACAATGCCATTATTGCTCTCTTCATTTTCTGTACATTAAAAGGTGAGTGTTCCCTTTGTACACTTAAGGGAAAAAAACTGATCACAGTTTCCACAAAAATTTTGAAATGTCTCTTGAGCAGCAAATCAGCATATTAGAATAATTTCTGAAGGATCATGTGACACTGAAGACTGGAGTAATGATGCTGAAGATTCAACTTTGCATCACAGGAATAAATTACATTTTAAAACATATAAAAATAAAAAATTGTTATTTCAACTGTAATTCAATTATTTACAATATTGCAGTTTTACTTTATTTTAAAGGGGTCATATGACGTTGCTAAAAAAGAACATTATTTTGTGTATTTGGTGTAATGAAATGTGTTTATGCGGTTTAAGGTTCAAAAAACACATTATTTTCCACATACTGTACATTATTGTTTCTCCTCTATGCCCCGCCTTTCTGAAACGCGTCGATTTTTACAAAGCTCATCGGTCTGAAAAAGCGAGGTGTGCTGTGATTGGCCAGCTATCCAGTGAGTTATGATTGGCCGAATACCTCAAGCGTGTGACAGAAATGTTACGCCCCTTACCATATTGTGATGCCTTGTCCCGGCCGGAGCGACGAGACAAAAACATTAAAACCCATTACAAAAGAGGCATTTGTTGCATCCAGTGGGGACATAATTACGGATTAAAATGACATATACTGTCTTGTTATGCGTTGCATCGCGCCGCGTAAACATAAAACCATGTCTGCATTTGTGAACGGAGAAATGACAAACAACAAGC